GTAAAATACTTGACTTTATGCATGTCATTTGGCAAATATAAGAACAAACATGACGTGCCCCTAAAAACCTTGTCACCCTCTACGTAACATTCGAGCCAGCAGCTCTTGGGAGCTCAGGGCTGTGTACCTCCTGCATGTATCTGTACCCACCATTTTAGATTTAGGAGACAACTCTTGTGGCCATTCTCACAAAAATCATCCTTGCTTTTCAGAGAGCAGCCGTCAGAACCATTCAGGAAAGAGTCCATTGAATCAGCAGTGCATGAACCTTCTTCAGACAGATACTGGTGGTCTGCCGGTCAGGAAAAAGTATGTTTGATTGGCTTGTTGCACTGCAAACATGATAGATATAGATTCAGGGGATTTTTTTCTCAATTCACAACAAAGTTTGTTTTTGTTTTTTTGTTTTTTGTTGTTCAGCTGTGAGCAAACTAAGAAAGGAGGGGAAAAACCCAACATGTGCACAATAATTAGAGAGTTTTGTAAATTTTTCTTGTGCTGTTTGTTCTCATTTATCAGAGCATAAATATATTAGCCTCAGCAAATGTCAAACTAAATGAGCATGCGATTGATGTGCACTATAATTATCTACACAGTCATTTTCCTACTGATACTCTATATATTACTTATTGTAAAAAAAAAATCTCCGGTAAAGAACAAAACAATGTCTGATATCTGACAGAGTGCATTCATTTGATGTGAGTTTCACTGCTGCTCCAAACCTTTTAAAGACATATCAGTGAGCAACACAATTGAATTGAATGCATCCATGAAAAGAACTGTAAATTATTTTGAAGTGACTGTATATAAATAACAGCCTGCCTCTGTAGTGCAAGTATTAATTAATCCCCTGGCATACACACTTGCTACTACTGTTTGTGTGAGTGTCAAAAATGTCAAACCTACAGTGCCTAGCTGTGTCCAAAAAAACTGAAAAATGAAAGTATATACTTGTTTGTTTTGAAGGATTTGGTGTTTTAAAGTGGGAGCTAGTGGACTTTCAGCTGAGGAAAGATAAAGTGATGACACAGGCTGTATAGAAACTCTTGAGAGACAACATGTTGTTTCCTTTTTTATGGCCTACGTTTGCAATAACAAATTACAGAAAATGAGGAAGCAAATTCATTTCTTTACTTTCTCCAACTTATTTTCCCTGGTGTGATATTTGAGTTCACCTATAGCACTATTGCAAAAGTCTCAAGTCACCCCTAAATTCTTCATATTTTGCTGGGAAAATAGGAAATAAGTGTAATCATTTATTGAAACATGTGCAAACACAGAAAGAAATAAGAGGGTATAAGGCAAAAAACAGAGTCTGCCCAGTTCTAACAAGCTTGAAAGTCAGCATTTGATATCACCACCTTTATTCTTCAACACAGTCTGAACTCTCTTAGGTAATCCCACCTTCTTTCACCAATGTGAGTCTGCTGGGGAGGCCAATCCATGACTCAGTGTTCCATTGTGTGTTTTTCAATTCAATTCAATTCAATTCAATTCAATTCAATTCAATTCAATTCAATTCAATTCAATTCAATATATAGCGCCAAATTACAACAACTGTTGCCTCAAGGTGCTTTTTATTGTAAGGTATAAACCCGACAAAAATACAAAGAAAACAGAGAAAACCCCAATGACCATATGACCCCATATGAGCAAGCACTTTCGTGACAGTGGGAAGAAAAACTTCTTTTAAGAAACCTCGAGTAGAACCAGGCTCAGGGAAGGGTGGCCATCTGCCAGGACACAACAGGACAAAGACATGTTGTGGAAGAGAGCCATAGATTAATAATAACTAATAATTAAATGCAGAGAGGTGTATAAATACATAGTGAGTGAAAAAGGTGGCTGAAGAAGAAACATGGGAATCCCCCAGCACCCTAGACCTGTTGCAGCGTAACTAAGGGAGGATTCAGGGTCACCTGATCCAACTCTAACTATATGCTTTATAAAAAAGGAAACTTTAAACCTAATCTTAAAAGTAGAGACGGTGTCTGTCTCCCAAATCTAAACTGGAAGCTGGTTCCAAAGAAGACGGGGCTGAAAGCTGAAGCCTCTGCCTCCCATTCTACTTTTAAATACTCTAGGACAGGGATGGGCAACTCCAGGCCTCGAGGGCCGGTGTCCTGCAGATTGTAGATGTGTCCTTGAAGCAACACAGCTGATTTAAATGGCTAAATGACCTCCTCAACATGCCCTGAAGTTCTCCAGAGGCCTGGTAACGACCTAATCATGTGATTCAGGTGTGCTGACCCAGGGTAATATCTAAAACCTGCAGGACACCGACCCTCGATTCTTGGAGTTGCCCACCCCTGCTCTAGGAGTACCAAGTTGTGCTTTCATTGTAGCAGTGTTGTTATCATTGTCATTATTAAATAATAAAGCCTATGTCAATCAGACACTTTCTAGATGGTATTGCTTGGTGGACAAAAATCTGATGGTAATTTTCTGTGTTTTTGACAACATCCCCAACTCCAGTGACTGAAATGCAGCATGGTTAAAAATGGTTGATGATACTCGCTGAACTTATTAATGACGATTTGAACCAAAAAATTTACATTTGCATTCATCACTTTATAAGACCTATTGTTACTTATTCCCAGCACATTTCCTGTGTAATTTGGCATTCCTCAGTCTTTTTTTCACCCTGTTTTCATTCCTTAAGAATTACTTTTTCACAGTCAACCTTTCAGTGAGACCATTTTAGACGAGGCTGCAGTAAACAGTAGAAGGACAAACTGAAACCTTTTTCAGCTAAAGAAGTGGGAGTGAATTATGTTTTTTTTGCAACAGGCTGCTAGTCACAAAGTGTCTAAAGATTTGATTTGTCTGTTACTGTATATGTAGACACCTCACTTGAATGATTCGTACACTAGGTCAGCGTTAAGTGGCTTAACAAAAAAAAAAAAGGTCAGATACAAGGACTAGACTGAAAAAGAGTGAAAAGCACCCAATGTTTGAAAGACCTTTAGAGAGCCTAAAGAACTCTCGCTTAAAATAGCTTAAAAAAAAAAGTCTGGCTCCTTGAAAGAAAAATTTAAAGGAGCAGTTTGAGACTTTTTCATAATACTGTAGATGGCTTTAAGCACAACAAAACCACAACTTTCAAAATACCAAAATTGTTTATGTAGCTTATGTTTAAGATTTATTATTTCTGACTGGGCTGCAAACAAGCTCTTCACTGCACATCACTAGGCTCTAACCTCTTTCAGTCTGCTGACAGCATAGTTTGTGTGGCTTTGTTGTTTGTGTGTGCACGTGACCGTGTATATGTGTGTCTAAATTTATTTCATGTTTAGAGATTCATTATTAGCCATTCATCAAGTAGTTGGACATCAGGGATGCATTAGTACCAGGTTCAGTCGGGTCAATGTCAGAATAATTGTTCAGTCTCACGTTGCAATACGCGTTTGATACTTGAGTGTCCTTTGCACATGTACCGCTTTTGTGTCGTTCCTGAATGCAGTGATTGCCTGTCAGTTCAGAGAATTAATATAGCCTTTTATAAAAGTCACAGAGACAAGTAAATGTTTAACAGTTGATTCAGTGGTACATTAATCAGATGTACTCAGACGTAATGGTGCATCTTTCACCTTTTCTTGATACTATACTGAATAAGTCACTTTCAATAATCCATTTTAAGTTATTCATGCTACTTGGTCACATATCAAAAAGTAATCTGACGGTATCACTAACACCAATTGCAAATATTTAACTATGACCATATGCCCCCGTCTTGCTTTGGGTTCTGGGTAATTGTCTGTGTGAGTCACAGGAATAAAGATCAATGGCAGTATTGATTTCAGGGTTCTGTGTTTGAGATACACAGTCTCCAGTGTGCTCCATGAATTTCACATAGTTCTCAACAATCTCCCTGTGAAGCAGGTGACTTGAATGAAGTTCAGCCCTTTGTTAAAAAAAAGTGTCATCATGCAAAAACCTCTATAAACTATTAATGATTTCCTCATCTCTGGAAACTATTGTTCTGCTCTGAACAACTCAGCAATTTATGCTGCCTGGCTTTCTCCTATATGTCCCAAACCCCCACACAGTTGACTCTGCCAAAGCCACAGACATTAATGCTGTGTTGTAACGTGCATACATCTCCAGCAGTTTCTTGCAGTTTCTCTCACTGCGGGTATTCTTCGCTCCTTCCTGAACTGGGAATGCACCCTGTCTTCCTGAGCAAGCATCAAAATAAAATGTGATGTCTCCATGCCGTAGAGATGGCAGTGTGAGCTGCAGGCCTTGGGCATGTTCTGCATGCCAGTGATAAAAAAAAACAAAAACATCTAGACACAATTCAAAAGTAGAGATCACCATATAATGAAGGTGGTGGAAAACAGGGAGGATCTAGCTGTTTTCCACTCATCCAGATGGGAACTGACTTACTTCATATTACAGCTCTCACCCCCCTATGATCATCATTATATCTCCATAATGGTGTACTGAAGAACTCCCTCCAACAGTAGGTGAAGATTGCCTTCAGATGAATGGACATTTTTATTTCTCAAAACAACCCAATTTCAATTTTCTTTTCTTCTGAGCATGTGGAAACATGTTCTTCATCTTCTTTTATACACCTCCCCACAACAAAATAAAGGTATACTGAGGACTGCTTTTATTTTCTCCCGAATCTTTTGTTACTTGGTAACATAACATCCTGACTTTCTGGTCAGGATTTTTAGATTAATTTTGAATCACCTAGAAACACTGAGCGTGTCTTCAAAACCCTAATGTAGACAGATTTGAGACACTCAATTAAAGATGAAAAGAATAAAAGAATAAAATGAACTGTTGCCTCGGATGAAAAATAAATGCATTCTAAATGTAAATAATTGCTAATCCCGTGGTCACAGCTACATGAGTGATACCAGTTTCCCTTATTTGCATTTGTTAGAAGCATCTGTTTAGATGGAATCCCACTATGCCATCTAATCCAGAGGCAGTCTGGCTTTAAGACATGTGATACACTCTTTACACTCAGCCAAGCTGTACGTGAACATTTGTCTCTCAGTGTTCGCTGAGGAGGGACTCAGCGAGCGCTGCTGTTCAGAGGCTGCCTCTCACTGGAAGGATGCAGACGGGGAAAGAAGAGATTCCACTACAGTTAATCAAGGAGCACTCTGCATGTGCCTATAAATGCGAAGGGGCAAATGAATTCAGTGTCACTGGGAGCAGCTCTTTAAGGGGAAGCAGTGATAATTCAAAGGTGGAATTGAAACAGCTGTAAATCTATTTCCTGACTCTGGCTTGACGGTCATTCGTGAAACACCGGACTGTTGCTATCAAAGTGTGGAGCAGGGAGACAGAGTCAGCGGAGTTCCCTGCTTGAGCCAAATCCACAGTTATTGGATGGGATCAACATGAGCAGAATTATGGATGGATTTATGCCATTCTGTTGAGATATTTATACACTCATTTTTTGGGTTGCTCAGGTAAGGTAATCTTTTGTTCTTCTCTGAGTGAAACCTAATTTCTGTCATTGTTAAGATGTTCAGGTTTTGTATCAGTCTTTGAAGAAAAAGAATGGAAACTGTGAAATATGCATTCATAAAGAATAACTGGACTCTCTGATACAGCGTTGAGAAAATCTAAATACATTTGATCTTATTTTACGATACTGATTTTGCTTAAAATTGCACTGTCTGTTTAGCTAATTATCTATTTTATTCCAGTTTAACATTTACAAAACCAATATCAATAAATAAAAAGACAGAAAAGACAACCCAGGACTACCAATGAGATTTTTTCTTACTTATGATTTGATAAAAGTTTTTTTTAGGGCTTGTCATTGAAATATATAAATTAGATTAAAATGTAAAACCTAATAAATAAATCCTGATATGAATGAATTTCAGGGAAGGAATGTTTTTCCAAAAATATTTTTTCCTTTTCCATTTTGATATGACCAGATGCATTCCTCGCCGTGAATTCTATATTTTCCTTTTTTTTTTCTTATCTAAACAGCGTGGTGAGACATTACAAGCCTTTTGATTCCTATTACCGCCACGTCACTGTCATATTACTGTGACAGATACAGAAAAGCCACGGCAGCCAGCTGCTTGCAAAATCTTATCTTTCTTTAAGTTTGATTTTGGTTTTGAGGCAGGAGCACAGCTCAGGAGTTGAAGGGAGTCAGCCTGTCAGGGGAAATCTCTGCTGCATGGGAAAAAGTCCCCAGGGATCACTCCACATTTGCAGTGTTGTGGCTCAGGGACAAGACAGGGCAAAGTAGGAAGATGAAATGGTGAAGAACTCATACTTATATAATCATGCTAATGATAAATTCTGATGACTAAAAATCTCCACTGAGGGGCGTTGAGGTCAAATTACCGACAAAAGTGCTTAAAAGAAAATTGAAATGTATTCATTTTTGCTCAAGACTCCAGAAGTGTGCATGCACAGGGGATGGGGCAGAAGTGGAGGTGAGGGAGAGTGAGGTCAGAGGTTGAGACATAATGCATTATGGGTTGATTCCAGCTCTACTGGTCCTCAGCAGATGTGTCCTGTCATGTCCTGGCTGCTCTGCCTGTGCCTCTGGGTCAGTGTGACTGCCATCCAGCTGTGTCAGGCCACTTTCTACGACACCATCCAACAGCATCCTGGGACAAGGCCTGGGCGGACCACAATTCATATGATTGGTGAGTCTTTTTGTACTTTCTTTCTTATTTGACATGACACATACAGCATAGAAATGGCTATAAAAAATACATTCTGAATCATCTCCATTTATTTCCATTGCCTCTTGAGTACTGCTACTGTATGCTGGGTTTGGCTGCTTAAGTGTTTAATTAGATTCCTAAGAGAAAATATTAGCCCACTTTATTTCAGTCTTTATTTCATTAATATATTAGTGATTAACAAATTATTTAGCAGGCAGATTGCACAGGGGCTGACTTTCATTAAGATTTGCACCACATAGCTTGAGAACTTCTACTGAAGATCACACAGATAAACAATGAATGCCTTTGCTTTTTCCTTCTTCAGCTATTACGGTTGATATTCATGCTACACTGCTCCCCCTCAATTTGATCTGTGCGATTGTGTTGACTGTGAAATTGCACTGAATGGAATATGAGTGAAGCATTGCGGTCGGACTTTTGTTTTCATCAGGCGGACGTGAGCCCTGGTTATGGTAAATAATTATGATCTCCGAATTCAACAGAGAAGAGGAAGCTCAATGCTGTCAGAACTTCAAAGGGAGAAGTAGCTGCATGAATGTGCAGGTCCTGAGTGTCTGTTATTTCCTCTATGCGCTGGTGCACCTCAAGCATATCAGCAAGAAGTCTTTTCAATAGTCTCAATATTGTGAGTCAGAAGACTTCCCGTTCCAACACCTCCATTTCATCACTCAGGTGTGTGCATGTGAATTGGAGACGTAGAAAAATATATAAAAGAAGAGGGAAAAAACACAGGCAAATGGGATATCTTCTCATAGGTGGTCTCATATCAACAAAAGGAAATTGAATTAATATTTCAACTGTGTGTTCGGGTCCTTTTTTGGAGAAAAGAAACAATTTGAATCCTTCAGGTCTCCGTCTTACTAACAGGGAAAATGTCCTGTCATTCCATTTTTCCATAGACCTCACTTCCGCACAAATGAGATGCCAGTTTTATGAGAGGAGGATGGGATGCCTGTCTGGATTGATTCTGACACTCGAACATTTGTTCTGTGCTGTGTTGTGTGCCTGTTGGATTGGTGGGAGGATTGGGGTTGACGGGTCATGAATTGGTGGCAAGAAGGCCATTGGCTACAGACCACTGGGCCAATCATTAAAGGCAGCAAAATGCCACAAGTTCACGGTGACTGGTATTACCAGAGGAAATCAAGATTACAGAGGGCGAGAGATCAGTTGTGTCCTTGCCAATAGGAATTTAGATCTACCCGGACGTATATCAAATCATTCATGTGTAGTGGTTTTGGAATCAGCTAATTGTGACCTGCTCTTTATATCTCTTAAACATATTGAAACTGTTGATGAATTATCGGCTGCTGTGTGAACAGGCATCTGAGAGATTTATTATCAGCACTGTGTCTCACACTCCAGATGTGTTTTCAATAATAATTTCTTTTTGACATTGTGGAAGCACCTGTTCTGTTCATCCACTGACATATTGGCAGCCTTATTGCAAAGAATGTGTGTCCAGAAGTCCATTAGCTAGATGACCCTTGACTAGGTGCCTGTGTGTGCTCAGTGAATCGAACAAGGTGGCCTGCTTTCCACCCTACAGCTCTACTTACAGATTGCTGCCTGCCACTCTCTCAGATATGCTTAGGGCTATTCTCCGCCTTCCTGGTACAGGCAGGGTTGCTCTCTGCGGTATGATTCATGAGGTGCTGTATTTATTTGGTGCAAAGAGCGTGAACAGTGCACAAAAGAGAACAGATTGTGTTTGTCTTGCATCCGTAAAGGCCTGGTCAGAGATGTTGCTTTTTATTTGGGGTTGTGTATTTCTTGACCCTGAACATATCCAGAGGAAACGAGAGGAATCGCAGATGGACATTTTTTTTTTCTGTCTAAAACTCTGACCTGGTAAACAAACAACCAAACAAAAAAATAACCCCCATAACTTGGCAATGATTTTAAAATGTAAGCTAAGATACTAAAAATACATTTAAAAAATCCTGTGCAGGTATGGCTATTTACACTTTTGCACCTCAGATGTTGTGTGATATTTGTTAAGGATCAAAATACATGCTTCAGTTCAGAGGGAACAAAGGTGTGTTGAATTTTTTGTGCAGCAGTCTACATTCAGGGGAAGAAATAGTGCCATTGGTGATGCAGTGCATCATGTGGAGGTGTTAGCAAAAACTACAACAAACAGTAGATAGTGGCTGCCTGAGGTGGCCTTGCTCTCTCGTGAACTTACTCCCACCAACATTTGGCTCGGCAGGGTCAAACTGTTCATAACTGAAAGGTCACTGAATCTCAACGCCGTGCAGATAATCTCTTATCTTGTGGTTACTGTAAAACATTTGGCTGTGAGTGAACATGCATACAAAGAGAAGATATGCAAAGCAGCAGAACTGGGGATACAAGCAGAAGGAGCTCACTTGCATGTTAAAATCTGCTCATATTTAAGTCACGCATGCTACATGTTGCACTCTTGCAAAGTTACCCTTCTTCCTCTTTAAGATGGCTCCTTCAAACACCGATGAAATTTCAGTGTTAAGCAGCTTAAATATCTTCTCTTCTAATATATGGAGTGAAACTATAGTTTCTCCTTTTTTTCCTAGAGTGAAAATACCACATAAATCCCTCATGTCTCCCATTCTGCAGCTTTAGTGGGGACTAGAGGATCAGGACTTTTTTCTGTGTGCCTCAACAAAAGAAACCACTCGCTGGCAAAGCTCACAATGAAACAAACATGAAAAATGGATTTTCGGCTGTCACAAACAAAGGTTGTATCCACTATGCACTGTTTTAGACACTGACAATTTAATAGCCTTATATAAGGCATCCTGGAGGCACATTATTTTGACATACATCTTCCTCCTCCCCTCCCCTAGACCTCCTCTCAACCACGCTCTCACTAGTGTCATCGCTGCTCTGCTGCAGTGCCAATGGGAAGTGGCGTGCAGCCTCAGCCCGAGGCTTCGCCACATCTGGAGCTCGGCAAACTCACTTTGTCCTGATGCTGTTACACATGTTACTGTTATACTGAAAGACCATCGGCCACTCTGTGAAACACCAGAAACTTCTTCTACCGCCTGCTAAAAAGATTTCCCGCTTTAATGGCTCTGCTGAAAGCTGAGGCAAAGCTTGTTCAGCCATCATATTTTAGAAAGTATTCATGTAATTTCCTTGGTTAGCCCTGAAAGAAAAATATATTCTTAAGTAAATGAATCTGAGGACAATCAGTGGCCTAATTATTACTGTATGCTCACAGCTACAAATAGGTTTTACATATTCTAGTATTTCCCATTTATTTCCTCTTTTAGCCTATGAATTATTCATAAGAGAGTACTCCTCTAAGCTTGTGGATATTTGTTTAAACAGCATGTTTAATTGAAGTCTTTCTGCCAATTCTGTGCCGGGCTATGGTTTGTGGTCACAACGCTTATATGCAAAATGAATTTCTGTGGCCCACAGCTTAATTAATTTGCCAGGCTTCTCTCTCTCTCTTTCTCTCTCATGACTTCACCGGCTATTTCTTATCGAAGCCAAATTTTCCCAAGTATTAATAACACAGGTGTTAATGGCTCACAAAGTTTATCCTCCTGATAAAGGCTGCAGTGTTAAATTTTCTCTTTCGGGCCTTTAGAGAACTGTAACAAATTGAAGTAGAAATTAAATAAACTTTTCAGGACATGATACTAATGAATAATGACCTTATTTTAATAAAAACGTCTTTCAGTTTCTTTACAAAAACATTCTACATTTTAAGAACTTACTGATGTATTTTAACACTGTGCATTATATGCCATGTTTATGTACATAACCTATTACAAATAGGCCACTGTAACAGCCTAATAGCACTCATTCATGAGTCAGAACAGTAATTGCAAATCTGTCACATCTTGAGGTCATTACATTGCTGGCAGCAGCCTGCTATTTTGCCATGAACCTCATTATCTGAGAGGTAGCACTGTCAAAGTCATATCTCATTGATCATCAGACACGAATAAATATAATCCTCATCATCTGCGGTTACCTCAATGTCTTGCTTTTTTAGATCTGCTGCCATTAAAAACCTCCATCCCAACGTAAAAGTCTTCCATTCCCATCATTCCCTACTACATGTGACAGAAAAGTGACCTAAGTAAACTTATTCATCCTTATGTCTGCCTTAATTCATAATATCAGTGACCCAGAACGAGCCAAAACAAGAAAACACACTCTTGCATACCTCAAGACCCTCAAGGCACTCTAAAGTCTATTGGAGCATATACTGCATGTTTTAAGCAAAGTGGACATTATGTAAATATCCTTGAAGCCAAAGTATACCCTTGAAAATTTGATTTAAACATTTGAAGGCCATAGACTCCCTGATTCTAAGATTGATCACGGCGGGTTAAAATGGGAAAACAGCTGAGAATGAAAAGATGTATGATAAATGTGGTTTATGCTTTCTTTTTCCTTAAAAAAAGCATGTCTGTAGACGTAAATTGTGACTTGGAATACAAAATCCATCTGTAGTTTGTCTCTGTTTACCTACAACGATGCAGTTAATCAGAGAAGTCCGATGAAACACAGCGTCCAGTCATATCAACAGATTCTCAATAAAGAGGTGCTTCGGTCTCATTTAGGCTGTCACTAAAGATGACTGTGTGTACCCTCGCTCAAGGAAGCCCCTTTACTGTGTTATGGTCAAACCTCCAAACTGACAACAGGCAGCTGCGAATTTTTGATGTATTTAAAAAAGTAACATAAAATACAACTATTAGAAATGCATCGTCTATAATATAGTCTATACACTTTATAGCATTCTTCTGTCCTTCAGAGTGCACCCCACTTTGGGAACCACTGCTCTAAAGTCTGTGTTTAGTGATGTAAAACAGAGTTCACCTAACAATTCAGTTCAATCCATCACTAAGAAACAAAATGCCAAATGCTTATGGCTTAAACTCCTACTTGAAAGCTTGCATGTAAATAGTGCACTAAGCCAAAGAAGCTCCTGAGGAACAAACAGAATGCAT